GACCTTCGCTTTCGCTAGAGCGTCTGCGGAAGGTCAGGGCACGCCACTCCCGCCGCCTTCATTGTCACACGCTGGTTGGGGAATTCTGGGAGTTGAAGTCCATATAGTTTAAAGTGGCCAAGTTTGAAGGAAAAACAAAAGCAAAACTCGGGCTAATCCGAAGAGGAAGCGACTCGCCGGGACTTCGTTGTCGCCGACGGCTGCCGGAGCTGCTTCGATGCGTAGTTCCTGCTCCTCCCCTTCGTCAGGTCGCTGCTTCCTCCGCTTTGAACGGCTGGGTTTTGCTGCAGTTGCTGCTGGCGCCGGTTTTAAATGTGAACGGAGGCTTGTCAAAGGGAAGGCGGAACAAAGCGGCGAGGTTTCCTATCCTCCCGTAGCCGAAGCTCGGAAAAAGGTGAATTGTGGAAGGTTGCGGCGTTCAGGGAGGTGCCGAACGTGGAAACCCCTCTGGGGTTGCTCGGTTCATGAGAGTTGCTATCCATCTGTTTTGATTTTTTTTAAATATATGTTTATTTTCGTTATCCTTGCAGTTCGGGGTTGCAGGAGTTTTGCTGGTTTATGAAATATCGAGTATGAGGAGGAATTGGTCTTTTAGAGCAGGGGTCTCCAACCTTTGAAACTTTAAGCCTGGCGGACTTCAACTCCCAGAATTCCTGAGCTAACATGACTGGAGGAGGAATTCTGGGAGTTGAAGTCCACAAGTCTTAAAGCTGTTAAGTTTGAAGACCCTTGCTTCATTGCCCAGAAGATCATTGGTTGCCCTCTCCCTTTTTGGAAGAGCTTTATAGCTCCCGCTGCCTTAAGAAAGTTCAAAACATTTTCAAAGATCCATTTCATCCAGGGCACCCTTTTTTTTTTTTTTTTGAACTATTACCATCTGGCAGACTACAGGATAATTAAAAACAAGGACAAATAGGCTGAAAAACAGCTTCTATCCCAGGGCAGTAACTCTTATTGAATTCTACCGTATAGTGCAATATTAATGTAATATACGGTGTTTTCAATTCAATTGTATAGAATGTGAAGGATGTGTGTTTGTGTTTATTTTCGTCATCGTAATGTACACTGAAGGTGGTACTTAATTTCATTGTACGAGGTGCAGTGACAATAAACTAAAGTAGACTTGTGGATTTCAACTCCCAGAATTCCTCCTCCAGTCATGTTAGCTCAGGCATTCTGGGAGTTGAAGTCCACAAGTCTTAAACTTGCCAAGTTTGAAGAAGATCCTTGTGTTAGAGCAACCATGCAACTAGTCCATGGCTCCATTGCTTTAGAATTGGTTTCCAAATACTCTGGACCATGCATACTAATAAGACAGGCATATCAATAAGATATGCATAGTAATAAGGCACACATATTAATACAACATGTATTCCACAGGCTCCAGAGGCTCCTTCTCTTTACATACGCAAAAACACGCAAAATGCTTGTCTAGAGCATGACAAAAGCCCATCTGGTTAGTGTTTTATGTTGTCCAAGGATCGGTTGCAACATATCTGTACAAAGCCCAAATCATTTATTTACTTACACACACACACACACACACACACACAC